TAGAAGCAGAAAACTTTAGAAATTTAAGCAAAATTAAGTTTTACAACACAAGTTACCTGACGGTGATACGGTTTATTTTTCAAAAAATCAAGGAAGGTATTCAAGTCGTCCGAGCATTTGAACAGCATTAATGCACAATTGACGCTTGCAGGCACAAGAGCAGAATAACACACCAGTGTGGACACCCAAGACCCTGCATCACTAGCTGATTCACCTGAGTGCTTTATGTGCTGATTCAAATGTCCTTCCAAAGTCCACTCTTGTTGCGAAATGCATCCCCTATTTGACCTCCTCAAACAGGGCGATATCGAGCCACATCATCCTCCTCCCCACCTCGCTGTAGCTTTCGTTCTACTGGTACTATCACTTTACAATCTTCACAGTGGGTGTGTGCGTGGTGTTGACTGTACAGCTGCCATTTCTACGCTCACAGTGATTCCCAGTTCCATACACATCGAGGTTGATGCGAATTCGACATACAGCCTATGTAGCGTCCCTTTACATTTGACTTTAGAGCAATTGCTATCACGCAAAGTGGGTGGATGAATATCAAATGCCAAAGATTGCACAACAGGAAACAAACACAGCAATGCATGCGACGACTTACCCTGATGCTCTCAGCAGTGTGGGCACAGTCGACGTAAAACGTCAACTTTTTCGACATCTGCACCTCATGGAATCGCCCAACAACACGAGTTGAAAGAATTCCTGCAAACACACAAGGTTTGGCAACTGTTTCCCTTTTCCCATTAGAAAACACATTAAGTGACCTCGACCGATAGGATCGCCATGATCTGCTCAAGTAAGCATTGCATTCAACACATTGGTGAAATGACACTTCGACATCTACTTCCTCACCACAGCAGAGCGACAATGCCGCACTTGGCACTGTCTGCATCCAATCACATCTCTTGAACTGGTGTAACCAACACTCACAAGGCATTGTTTATCATTCACTTGTGGCAACCTTTCATCGGCTACCTTCTCCAACAAGGAAGCCGCACAATCAGGCCGGATAAAGTAGCGACGGCAAAGCCAAAGATTTGGAAGCATTCACTTAATTAGTGCCTGTATGCAGCAAGGACTGATTTATGCGCTTTTCCTACATGGGAGGCTTCAACACATTCGCTACTGAGGCCACTCTAAGAAGAGCATCGACATCAAGACCTCAGCTGTCGCCTTGTTCTGCCATGCCATCAAATGTCATCAACTCTCTTCTCTTACAATCCCATTCTTCTCTTCTTTTATGTGAATGTTTCCTGCGCGTGTGGCGTACGAGTTCAGGTAGGAAAATTGGTGGTGAGAACTTCATTACTAGTCATTCTTGTTGCTAATACTTGAGGGCGAAAAAGCACCCATTCATGAGAGAACAAACTGCCAAGCAAAAGAGATTTACCGTCAATTTGTTTTCTAGTTGGACATGGGCATAACGTTGGCACATCCTTCGAGGCTACCGAAGAAGGAAAACAACAAACATTTACGATGGCATTTGTGCAAATCCACCAGCCAAACAATCACGAAAGATTAGCGGACCCCTTCAAAGGATGGATGATTTCAATGGATGGGGGCTTTAATTGAATACAACGTCGCCTGGAAGTTCGTGATCAGGGAATGGGGCACCCCTGAAATGCGTGCATCACCATCTTCATCATGATGGCATTAGCTTCACGCAAATCAAATCAGAAAACGAGCAATTATGGCCACACACCAGGCCAACACACAGCGCCTCCGCATAGACATGAATGAAGTGTTGATCACATTTCACCAGATGCCGAACGGATAAACATTTCAATTGAGTCACTCTGAACCAGACGTCATTCCACTGATTGCGAGGAAAAGGATGAATAAAAGCACTCAGAAGGCATCAACACGCTCGCGTGCTCAAAACTCACAACCTTACTTCCATCTCAATCGCTCATTTATTAAGAGGATATAATGCCACACTACATTCACGAGAGGGAAGTGATAAAACCAGGAACTGATGAGGCATAAACAAGGCTTCCTCAAAGTGGGATCGCCGTATCATCACAGCTAAACACAAAACAATGTGGTGAAGAAAGACAGACGCACGCATTGATGGATCGAGCTGCACAGATGGCGAGACGGTGCTATAATGCCCATGCCACAGGCTGACAGCAGCCAATGCGAGACAGACATTTCTTTCGTTAACTAGCGGACACCCCATTTCGTGCACGAGACGCTGCCAATCCGACAACACCACGTCATCACCACCAAGACTACGTTGAACGTCAACGAATCGGGGCGCCACAAAGAGGGGACACTGTGAATGGCAAAAAGACAGATGCCGATAGTACATTGTGTTGGTCAGTGAAGAAGGTAAGGGCCATCATCGCTTACTTGAACTGCTTCAGCCTCCTCGGTGAAAACTGCCATCGCGTCCTCCGGTTCGTCTGTGGCCACCACAGCCGCAACTCCGGGCTGCAAAAAAACGACGATTTACACCGTATCGAGAACTGCGTTAACTTGGAACACCCAAATCTTCTCTATCGTATCATTACATGCGCCGAAATGTCAGCACGACAGTTTTCTGCACATTGAAAACCATGATGACGTGAAGCAGACTATCTGCAATATTTCAGCCGCATTGTCAAAGTCGAAGGTATCCACTCACTGGCTAAGCGCTGTAATCGGCGTGTTAACACAGGAATCACAACCATCAAAGCCTTAAACTAACCTTTTTTTAATGATCAATTACATGCTGAATGTTGAAACCATAAAGAGGAAAGGGAAATGTTGCGCTCACCTTGAAGATTCCTGCCTTGTTCCACGCCACCTCTCGGATTGTATCACCCAAAAAATCCGTGTGTTCCAGTTCTATCGCAGCGACTACGGTGACACGAGGACGACTAAGTTAAAAAAAAGCGAGACTGCATGATGAAAATCATGTTTCTCTCCGTACCAAGGTATTATGAATTGCAGTGCAAATGTGTAATAAAATGGGCCACGTTCTGGAACCAATGCAACATCGGGGAGAGTTTGCAGCAAGAATAAACGAAGAACATAGGTGGATGACAAAAAGGCTACTGAAAGTAGGCCTGTTTGTTAGCAGCATTATTTACAAGTAAAGTGGTGAAGCAGAACTCACACAACACAACGCAATGACGAAATCCGCTTTCACCAACCACAATAATTCAAACCACATTTACAATAAACACGGTCGTACACGGGTAACATGCTTGATAACAATCACCAACGGATGATTCGTCGCTCACCGTACGTAAACAGCGCTAGTTTTTCAGTCATCGCACGTTTTACTGCAATGCAATGCTTGTTTAACTCTCGGATATGGTAAAGGGACCACTCAGGCCCATCGCCGTGGTACTTCTACCGCGCGGCCTGGCCTCAGACCCATGCCACTACTCCTAATCCCTTCTCTACGCTAGCAATGCATATCCTACCCAAGCATTATGTCCTCTTTCCTCCTCAGGAAAGTCTCGGCACACTGCATTACCAACATCTTGGCGCCATGATTAGATAAATTACCTCGTCAAGAAACAAAGTGTTCTGCATCCCTGTGCTCTGTTGGCTCGCAGCGATGCAAGTATACCCACACTCTAAAGCAGAGCACAGCTGCAAACCAATGGATTATGCGGAAATTCCAGTGACTATTGCACGTAGACATTAACACGAATGGAAGCTGGCTTCAAGATGACCCCAACAATGGTCTCCACCATCAGAACTGTGGGCAAGAGTACTATCCAAGGGGCTTCAGCTTGTTTTGGCGTAGAAATTGGAAATCATTTGCGACAATTTCCACAACCAGCAATATATCACAATATTGGCGAGGAGGCAGGGCATAATAATACAGGACTTACATTTAGATAGGGAGTATTTTTCACAAAAATAATGCAATGGTTACAAGAATGCTCACCTCACAAAGTTAGAGCAATCGTATCTGCCTCCCAACCCGACTTCCACCACTGCCACCTCCACCTGTCCATTCAAAAACATAAATGCACTGACAAATATTCATGAATACCACCGAAATACATAGTAGAATTCAATAAAATCCTGACTGCACAACTTTTCATTTCTTGCACTACTAACCATTTTGTTGGGAGATTCAACATCGGTGTGGCATTGTGTTGCGAAGACCTACCAATACAGTTCTTTGTTTGACTCGATTAAAAAAATATGAATGAGCATCAACATGTAGGTGGGAATTCATCGTAGAGAGCTTAATGCATTGAGGAACAGAGTGCTTGTCTTGCGTTACTTCGACTACTTCGTATTTTGCAATCTGTACATCAGTTAAAAGTCAGTAACTCCCTGACTACCAATGTGGTTGGGGATATGGATAGTAATGCTTCGTGAAAACAAAGCACAATCTTCCTGTACAATAAAGTGCACGTACCTTTGTTGAAACGAATATACCAAAGGCCACATGAAGGAGGAACGATAAATACGACGGTTTCGGAAATTCGCCAAACGTCTCCTACACACACCAAGGTGACAATACATTAGCAACTTCTTAAAAACCAACTTAACAATAGTCTACACTTGAATGAGGTACCCTACTTGTCGATTGCCTGGTAAAGACTATTCCTGAAATGCAAATCACTAGAAGGCCGACTTGTTGATGCCTTCATTCAGATGTGGCACGTAGGAAGTTAGCAAAAAAACAGATAAGAGTATAAATCCAAATAAACTACGTAAAACACCGGGGCAAAAAAGACAATTCACTTCAAATTATCAACACCTGACCTTTCTACTCAAGTCAGGTACAACTTTATATGCATACATAAATAACTTCCTCCCTGGAACAAAGCACAAGTCAGAGACTCTCCCATAAAATAACTAGCAGTTATGGGGCAAAGATGCTCTGTAGAAAGCTTTCATTTGTAGCAGTCGAAACCGAATAGGCTAAATCGCACGTACCGCATTTGCATTGAACTTATCATAAAGCATCCAAAAGTGCTCAGCAAACAGTTCCCTCTCAACAGGCTTCCCGTTGATTCGTATACGCTCCTCCACGTTGATCAGATGTGGCGATCTGTAAGGCTTAGCATAAAACTCGAGACGCTTCCTGAACAACATAGCAGAAGGGGAAGATTATAGCTCACGTGATGAGGCCAGTGCGGTAGCCTTCGTGTCGCAACATGCATTCAATGTAGGCACAGGTAGAGCCCTTTCCTTTTGACCCTGCCACGTGTACGATATTAAGGTTCGCTAGCTCGTCCGACTGCATAAGGCGACTAAGACGAAAGCAGTGTGCCACGACTTACGGTACGACCAGAGGCGCGCAGATAGGCCCTTTGAATATCCATTCTCAAATGAAGTGGCACAGGTGAGAAATCCCCTTGTAATTTGAGCAGTCGATTGAGCTCTTCTAAGGCACACTTGCATATTAGACTACTCAGCACTAATGTACCTCATAGGTTCCCCCGACCATTCTTAGAAAATGCGCTGAAATTCACAGAATAGGCACCTAAAAAGACGACATCAAATGGGATGCTGAGTAACTATACACTGAGAGAAGGAATGGCATTTTACCTATTTGGAACTCTGTTAATGCTCAGAATAAAATGGGCATAGTATAATGGTAGTAATAGGGAACTAGAAGCATATTACTTGTTTACCGAATAAACAATGAGACGAATGTAGTCGAAAAAGTTTACCACACATGCAAGGAGTTATTTCCAGTAAATTCTTGGTCGAATCAAACATAATTAAGAATTGCAAAGGGATAGACCATGTTAGACACATAAACTGTCGTAAAGGTAAAAGTGTCCCATTTGGATTAATATCCAACTTCGGAAACTGACATAGCAATCACGGACCAAACAAACAACAAGTAGTGGCAAAGTTTATCAGACATGCCTCTGAAATATACTGTGTAGTAAAGAGCACAACTTATAATGAAAGTGAATGAACAGTGGGAACGTACCAAAGGTGGACGGTAGGCACACACCAGATGGTGCGAATTGCGAAACAAATTTATCGTAACCTTTGCAAAGGAATTGGTATATGCAAACAAGGTTCACTTCCAGGCTGGTCGAGGATGTAGCTTAAATGCAGATGTGCCTTTAATATGTAAGGTAAAGTAAATTATGTAGACGCTCGATTATTTCTTATATTCTCGAATCATGTAAGGATGTGATCTAAGTCCGTGCCTAAATCTAGTAGATCTAAAATATTGCACTCATCAGTGTAATGCCTAATTTTAGCCGACACAGTAAAAATCGAGTTGACGCTATTGAAATTTTACATTTGGCCCTATGAATTGAACTAAGTCCCACGGCAATTACTTTTAATTTCTTAAGAAATTTGGAAGTGTCTGCAGAACGATTTTATTTTTCCCTTGATGCACCTGTGTTAATGCAGTGCAAAGCAAACGCATTTTACCGTAGAATTATGGACGATATGTTAATGCTAGTCAAGTATTTGGCTAAGTGGGCTCTTCATCCCTTGTGACTTCAAATTTCGCTTATGTGTCACGATCAAGTTGGAGTGCCACACGAATGACCAACATAAGTGAACCCGACTTGGGCAAAACGTAAGCCTAGTTTCTCGTGCTTCTTCTAAGTCCAAGGGATGGGGCTGTTCTGAGGGTGGACGAATCTGCGGTGCCTCAGGACTAGGAGATTACAGCAAATTAAAAGCAGTGTCTTCTTTTGGCAGACCCTTGATTTCACATTCTAAACAGTGTCTGCTGGTTGAGATAGATTAGATCTCAGGCGAATTGCATTTACTAACATAGAAATACTGTTTCTTTCATCAAATCCATTCCTACCTCACTCGAAAATGAAACTGTTCTTACTACTATTTTGGGTAAATCTTGCTACTTAAAGCGCTAGAATATGTTTGCTGTAGAGCGCTGTCTGGCCTGTAACACTACCTGTTAAATGGATCCTTCCTCACTGCAGTTCCCCTCGAGTGGGACTCGATGCTCCAAAATGCCAGACAGACACCTCAGGTAGTATCACCGCCACTTGATTGTGTCTACACTAAGATGCAACTGCATCAGATCGCTGTCGAGGATGTCTCACGGATTATTGTAGTACGCACAGGATATTGTGGTGTTGGGAGCAGAAGTCTGACCACAGGGTAACCCAGAGATAACGCCTTAAATATGTTGGAGACCAGAAAGTGGTCCAGTGATAGATAGTCTGAAGGTGCTTTCGACTTATTCTTGGACTTCCTCCTCCTTGGTTTCGGCTTCCTATTCGGTGCTACGGATGGTGGCAAATCTTTACATTATGCTCCCCATCATCCCTTCAAATCAACAAGGGAATCGACAGCATAGTATCAGGTCAGCTCCAATTAAAATTCTTATATTTACTGAAAAGGCGCATCAATAAATAGCAGATCCACATGTCTCGGAAACCCTGG